TTTGGGAGAAGGCCGGGTGTCACATTTCCTCATTCAACACCCAGCCTGCCCATGCAGACATCCCACCTCATCCCAGACCTGCCACTTCGGAGGAACGAGGCAACAGCAAAGGCTGAACCCCTTGGCTTTGCAGCAGGGGGTTTTGCTCAAGTTCTTTTTTGGTTTTTTTTTTTTTAGGATTTTTGGTTTTTTAACTACACTCCGCGTCCCCCTTGGGATTTTGTGATACAAGGACAAACACTGATGCTTTACAATAACCTAGCAATAACAAAGCCACGTAGCTACTGTACGTTGCCATGCCCTGTCCGAGTGCTGCAGCCCTCTGCAAGGATCACTTCTTGTTGGCAAGCTGCTTTTCCAAGTCTTCAAGTCTGGCCGTCATCTGAGCAAGTGAACGTGCTAAGGAAACAGCGCGAGCCGGACGGGCTGGTGGGCAGAGGCCTTTGTCCCCTTGAAGGAGCCTAAAATTTTCCCCACTCCCATTTACCCATCCCTTCCTTCCCTGTGTGCAGTCTGTCGCCAGGCTGCCCTGTACCCCAGTAAGCCCAGAGATCACCCCAAAGGATATTTTTCTCGGTCAGGCTCTGCAGGATGGCCACGGTGTTCGTCTGGAACTGCACCAGCGCCTCACACTCGCAGGGGCTGCGGATCTCCATCTCCCCTTTGCCCTCCTCTGTGACCATGGGGGTTTGGGGGCAGTCAGAGGCATGGCCCCGTGGCGCATGGCTCTCCCCTGCTCCCGCACGGCACGAGTCCCTTGTACCTACAGCCACCCGCCAGGGCTGGACCTCAGCCTTGGGGCTCTCCCATTCTCGCCTCTCTTCCCAGCCTTGCTCCTTTTCACCAGGCTGCGTCCCCACTAACCCAGCCAGCTTGCGGCCGGGCGCCCCGCAGAGCTGCCCCGCATCTGTGCCCCACAGCGTGCCGAGGACAGCCAGCATGGAGCTTTGGTTCACCTTCGAGCCGGGGTGGCAGGGTGGGGATGCTGACCCCACATCTGCAGCCCCACAGGAGGATCCCAAGAGCACAGGGGGGCCCCAGCCTGCCCCAGGGCAGGGAGACCTTCATAGTAACCCCTCACGCTCCTCCTGCAGCCAGCAGCAGCAGCAGGAGCGCAGGTCTGGACGAGGGGACAGGCCATCCTTGGAGCTGGGGCAGCATCCCTCAAGGCAGGGTGCGACCCCAGACTCTGCCTGTGCAACAGCCCTGGGGCGGCCGCTCACACGCCATCCCTTTTGCATTGAAGCTCCCAGCTCCACCTCCTCCTTTTCTAATGCCTCCCTGAGACCCTCCTCTACACCCTCCACAGCTGGTGAGACCGAGACACCCCAGGCTCACGTCAGCCCAGCTCAGCCCTGGGGTGCGAGACACGGGGTGACAGACACACAAACCAGCTCTGCAGGGAGAGGAGGGCTCCCCTGGCTCGGGGCTGAGCCCCCCGCTGGGGTCAGGGGCACCCACCTGGGCAGATGTTCAGCTTGAAGTTCTCCACGAGGTGGGTCATGGTGGTGAAGTCCGCCGAGTAGGAGAAGTGCTGCTCCACTGGCTCAGAGGCGATCGCTCTCAGCTCCTCTTCCACAGCCTTGCCGACACCCACGGCAAACATGACAATCCCTGCACGGCAAGGACGGATCCTGAGCGCTGTGCCAGCTGCCCCACGTCAAGCAGCCCCAAGCCCAGAGGGAGCAAAGCCAAGGAGGCAGGATTTCCCCCAGGCTTCCCAAATGCACTGCAGGAATTTGGGAAGGACGGGCGGGAGCACGGCACCTCCGCTGCGGTGCAGGCTGCTGCATGAAGGGTGCTGCTCAGAGCACCCTGCGACCACGGCAGAGGCACGTCTGCCCCGGGCGATGCCAGCGCCCCAAGGCTGGAAGCTGCAGCCTCCCCCAGAGCCAGCCACCCCGAGGAACCTGCTGGACATGCCCAAAGCACTGCAATTTGGGGTTCCACGGCCCCTCGCACCTGACTCCTTTGCTCTCCTGGCCCATTCGGAGATGTCGTCCTGGGAGCGCCCGTCCGTGAAGATAAGCCCGATTCTGGGCACGTTGTGGGAGAGAGGCCTGGCACCTTCCAGCTCAGAGAAGCTGTGCTCCACCATGTGCTTGAGGGCAAGGCCCATCATGGTGCCTTTCTCCATGTACTCCACCTCCATCACCGCCTTCTTGATCTCGTCCGCGCTGTGGTACTTGTTGAGGGGGAACTCGGTGCGGACGCGGCTGGAGTACTGCACCAGCCCCACCCGCGTGCCGTGGGGGGACACCTCCAGCAGGTCCACGATGCGGTTCACAAACTGCTTCACCAGCTCAAAGTTCTGGGGCTGGACGCTCTTGGAGCCATCGATCACCATCACCAGGTCGACGTGCCCGGCCCTGCACTCTGCAGGCACAGGGGGAAGGTGAGAAGGGACTGGCTTGGCTGTGGGCACCTGTGAGTGGGGTGAGGCTGGGAAGCAGGGCAAAGCGCGCCTGGATGTCGCAGCCCTAAAACCTCCACTGCCACCCCATTGTCTCTGAAAGTCCCTCCTAGGTTTCCCTTTTCCTGAACCTTTCCTCAAAGCTCCTGTTGCATTTTCTGGGCCACGACTCTGAGGGCGTGAGCCAGCATCCGTCCGAGTGGTTCTGCTCAGCCCGGGGTGTTTTCTCCTCTGGATTTGATGTGATTGCTGTGTCCTGGTGGGACTACAGCTTCCCACTCCTGGGCCAGGCTGGTTAAATAACCCTCCCTTTTCAGAGCTTTCCAAAGCTGCAGTCATTCTTATTAGGCTGGTTCAAATCGTCTCTTGAAAAGGTCTCGCATCCCTCTTGAGCACAAAACTGTTCTGTATTCAGACCCCGATCACCCAGTCTCCTGAGCCAGCGCATAAAAGACGCAGGGAGAAGGCTCCAAGAAAATATTAAAAGCTGTTCAGGTGTGCAAGGGGAGTGATGTGGGGGGAGACCTTACTTCTCCCTGGCTCCATCTAGGAGTGGACCAAAGTGCATTTCTGTGTGGAGCAAGGCTACCTCCGCGATGCC